CCAGGCTACAATGCCTGCATGAAGGACCTCCTTAGATGTCTGATCAGCGCAAGAAATCTTCGAGCTAGGTTAACAAGAGAGGTCAGGAGCTAGGTTGACAAGGGTTTGGATTCTCGAGGGGCTATTGTTATCTATTGTTTAAATTGCTGTTTTTGCTTGAATGTTGTTCGTTTTAAAGTATATTGTATTTTGTTGGTCCTAAGGGCAGCGCTTCGACGTGAACACAAGGCCAGCACAAATCGGCACTGGTGGCATATCACATAAAGTGTCGGATGGATTCTGACAGGTTTCTGGGATTCATGCAAGAACCGTTGTGTGGCTTGACACCGCAACTGTTGTTGGTCTTTGTTATCTCTTGTTGCTGGCTTCTTTTTTGGGTATTTTTCAAGAGGCAAGATTGAACCTCCCTTCCGGATGGCACTCTTGACTTCATTCACGTACCTGAACCTGCTATTTGCTACTTACTTAGTTCTTCACAGGAAGACATGCATATCGACCATGCAATACTGTACCATATGTCTCCATATCATTGTTTTGGGATTCACTGTTGGAGTTGTCCTTCTCCTTGTGGAACCATGTTTCCCTTGCTATGCCATATCAAGCACAACTGGGAGGTCAAGAAGGGCGATGACAAAGTCCAAGAGAAGGACACCAGTAGCCCAGTGCGATCTTCGACTCCACCCGGTGGCTCCTGAAAGTTGCTGCCGGCTAGTTTCGGCTAGGTGTATATAGCTATATTATAGAAGTAGCTAGTACTCAAGCAACTGAATACTTTAACTATCTTTAACTTTAGAATTACACTTGAAGGGTCGCCTATATATATAAATATAAATATATATATATATACACAGGTCGCTTCCAATCCAGGCATGTATTTCAAGTCGTTCATCAATTGAGATGTGACCAGACCTTTGGGGGTCCCGAAGTAGATGTTTGTGCGTGACACGGTGATACGCATTTGAAGGCAAGGCAATGGCCTTGCCCCAAAGTTGGAATACCAACTGTGCAGGATCTTCTGGACATGCTCACCTCTCTGAATGAAATTGTACGACACTCAGAGCTGAGCAATGCCTCAATCAACATTGCTATTAGCCACATCTAGCCACCTACCACTCCGCATCCTGGCGTTGCTGCTGACAAAGATGGAAGGTCGTCAGCATGGACAAGGAGTACAAAGCCTTCCGTGAAATGTCGAACGCCCGAGACTCAACAGAAAGTCATACAGAACTCCCATGTATATAGGGGTATAGTCGACCTAGGGCTGGGTCAATACGGGTTGCCGTGCGAATGAGTTTGAGAGGGACGTCGTTCTTGGAGGAAAGGAAGCAGACGCTGACAATTGATGAATGATAGACAGTTAGGAGCAAGACTCGGAGACGTTGGATGGACCAGGATAAGTGATTGCAAGTGTCGCAAGAGATCAGTTACTGCCGCAATTGCCGCCAGTCTTTCATGGCCTCCCCACAGGCACGAGAAACTTCGTGCCAAAGCACCCAGACAAGCTTGGAGAAGCTCGCTGACTCAGCTTGCAAGATCAACCTGTCCAATTGGCCTCTAACCCTATTTGGTTTGTGCACCTGGCAAGAGAAACTAGACCCTACAGGAGAGTCAAGGTGTTTGTTCACTGTGCACTCAAGCTTGCAAGGACTTCAGTTCGCTGCCTTATGATGATGTTTCTCCAGCTGATTTCTTGAGTCTTGCAAGGTCTTTGAAGGATGGAAACCGGTCATTGCAGACGGCGGGGACCTGCTTGGGGCTTTATAACTGGTTTCACTGTCACACAAGGTCATTTGTGGTATCAAGCTAGATTTGGAGTTTCTTGCATATTGACCCATCATTTAATATAACATCCTGAGGTGCATGTATGTGCAGATTGCATGATGATCTCTGCAGCCGTGTAATTGTAGCCTATGAAACCAAAAGGCATTGTTTGGGTTTGTTGGCACCATCTGGTTTTGTGCTGCGATGGCAGGCTCAACAGGAGTTGTCAGAAGCAATGACCGAAGTAGACTCCATTCAGGTTCCGTGAGATTTGATGTGAAAGTGATGGCAGCACCTTTTGAACGCATAGCAAGTGCATCGCTAGGCTAGCCGATCACTGCTTCCAGATTGTTCAATGCAGCTTGTTGAAGAAGCATTTTGCTAGTATGCGGCATGCTTGAGGTTGCTGTAGAGTGACTTTAGAAGTCTGTTTGCTTGTCAGGGTGGTGTGGACACACTCCAGGACCAGATGAAGGCCATAGAGGGTCAGTTGAATCCTCAGAACTGCTTGAGATGCTAGGATGCCGATTTAGTAGCCATTGACTTGCTTGTTTGAACATGACACTGCTGGTGGGAGTTAAGAACCACAACAATTCTTTGCCGGGGATTTGTCCAGTTACTACTAGTAGCTGAACTGATGTTTTCATGTTACCATGACTATGCTGTTATGGCCATATGCTCAGAAGGATTGGGACACTTTGCCCTGTTCTAGCTAATCAGAGACTCGTGACACGTGTGATTTGGGATAGGGCAGTGGAAGTTTTGTGAACAACATTGAGCACAAAGGAGTCAAAAGCCCTTTTTAGGGCCTCTTCACAACGTGTTTGTTAATCTTGCTTTGTCACTGCCAGATCCTTGACAAGGATCAGTGATCTTCAAGCCCAGCTGGTCAAGCTGAGATCTGATCGTTTGGACCTAAGATTGCTTGGCTGATTCATGGAAATGCATTGAAGAGTATTGAAGACTTGGGCAAACCAGCACGTGAACACCGTAAACCCTCCTGTCTGAGGTCAAGCTGTTGTGGCGCGAGATTCTGGTTATGCCCAGCAAGTGCAGGTTTGTCATCAAATCAATCACTGTGCGGCATGTTTGCATGTCTCTCAGGCTCTAGTATTTCAGTGTAGTCATTTGGCGAGAGGCTCTCCAAGCACCCACAACCTACTTGAACATTTGCTGAAAACAGCATCCCTCAAATCTTGTTCCGAAGAACGCTTCCTTTCAAGTTTGTGCGTCAAGCAGGGCTAAGCTGCAGATACACAAGAGGAAACAAACAACAAGATGGTCACCAGACTGGAGACATACTTTTCGATGGCTCAACATGTCTCAAAGTCTTGAGAACATCGCTGATAATTCTGTAGTACTGTAAAATAAGTTGGGTTCAGAACCTCGGAGGCGTGAAACCCGTAGTTGCGGAACGAGGATTCTGATATGGTTCTTGGAGATTCATGGAGCCCATAAATGTCATTGGCATACACCCCAAATCACCCAAATAGATTCTTGAATCTTTGGACTGAGCATTTGTTTGGCCTGACTCGTTCCACCGAAGGCCATCCTAGCAAAAGCTCAGCAGAGAATCTCCCAGGCACTTTTGGGCGATGCTCCAGCAGTGGAAACCCTGTTGATAGAATCATACAGAATCTATGAGCTCCAAAATCCACATGGCAATAGACTATGTTTATTTGTGTGCATTTATGTTGTAGAGAGGGATCACTCGCTCGCTGTGGGTCAAGTGCGCAAGTCTCCCATCTTGACTACTCGTAGTACATACTCTCCTAGCGCAGCTGCCGACAGCATTTCAGCAGTTCGAGTCGGACTTGGCTGGATTAAGGGCCGCCCCTGGATTAAGCTCCGCGAGCGTTATGACCGCAAAGCTCTATGTTGATGGCTGGTTTGCCTTGCAAGTGAGTGCACCCAAATCACATTCGCCTGAAATTGGGCAGTTTAGAGAAGTGATTTGGTTTGTGGCTTTCGAGCAGCTACAGGTTTGGACCCGCAGTGGTGCTCACAAGATGAATTCAGAGGACTGACAGATGCATGGAGATCTACAGATTTGATGTTGATGACACTCGGCCTTATATACATGTTGTCCAAGTCTAAACTGCTTCTGGAACAGACTGCTTTGCTCTTACTTCCACGAGTCTAATGAGTCTAACTGTTCATGTTGAACCCTTCGTTGCAGGAGCTGGAGGCTACTAAGGCCTTGTTGGGCTTGCTTGCAAGGTCCACATGAGTAGTATAAGATAGTACTGTAAAAGCTCGGACAAATGTTGCTCCACGGTGAGCCACCGTGATTATTCAACAGATTCTGCGCATATATCATCCTTGAGGAATTTCTGTGCAGGCAGAGTGGTAGCCCATCAAAGATGAATGGGATAGCCGCAGCCACTTTGGCTCAATAGAGTAGCTATTTCAGGGTCAGCACCAAAGTATCAGGAAAAAGCTCTTGATGCCAAAGTTACGCTGAAAATCATGAGCAATCTAATGGTACAGTATTGGCATTGTAAAACTCAATCCGTTTCGTGCGTGCTTTGTGCGGCTCTTGGCTCTATGGCTGAGGACAAGAAGGACCCCTTTGCAGCACTTGATTTGTTTGTTCACCATGTTCAGACATCAGCTTACAAGGGCCATGGACTCAGTGCCAAATGTAACTGTTCACGAAAAATGATGAATTAGAAAACGCAAACGCTCGCAGTTAGACATCATGCTCCGTTGCAGGATGGCAAAGCCGAAATGCCCAGCGCGAGTGCACGCCCGCCACTGCCAGGCTTGCTAGCAGAGATTGGATTCCCTAGATTCATTCAGATTCATTTACTGTAGATTGGGGCGAAGCCGTGTTTGGCTTCAAGTGCTGGACCACTAATGTTTCGGACCTCCACAAAGTGTCCCTTGCAATGCAACTGTTTCCAGCTTTGTCCAGATTTGGTTGTTCAAAGAACAGGACCGATGAAGGCTTTCGGACGAATTTCGAGTGAACGCTCGCAGTGCCGACCGCTTGCTGGAACTTGATTTCACGCAGGCTTCTCGGCCAAGACGGAGCGCTGGGTTATGGAGCCACTCGGTATTGACTCTGTCGGTGTTATATTAATCTATATGTTTTCTGAAAAGCAAGTCTGATTCAGATGGACTGAGCAGTAAACAGATGGTGGGGTGAGATCAACAGTCCAAAAGCATCGCAAAGCAACAGTCTGGATTCAACAAAGGCAGACGTTCCTTCCCTCAATCAATAGCCGTAGAGCAATCAATGAGCATTTTGGCCAAGAAAGCACCGAGGTTGGTCTATGGTAGGCGTTGCGAAGCCGAGGAGAAGTACCTCAAGGATCCCGTTGGAAAGAGCCAGGTTGTCAATGGTTGTGATGTTGAGGAACAATTGCGTTGTTGTGTTGATCATTCTGCGCATGGAGAGAGGCATCATGATGAACATACCGACAGGCAGCCTGTTTGTTATTTTGTGAATGTGCTGGTGATGACTGGAAGAGAAACCCAAAAAATTGAATATGGTTGTACGGTACATGGCATACCAGTATGGCTTTAAATGGCTCAACATGTGATGCGGCTTTTAGGATGTTTTGGAGATACCTTCTTTCTTCACTTCCCAAATGTTTGTCGGGAAGGAGCGGCAAGCAAACGTGCCTGTGACGAAGGCGGGTGAGTCTACCAGCGAGCAGAGTTTATTTTTCGGGGGTTACGAAGACGAAGTTAAGTTTCCAGAATAGCAAGATGTATGCCACATGTATGCTATCATGGGCTTGAGTGGCTTGTAGTCGTAGAAACTCGATTTTGTTGCGGATCTTCAAAGTGGCCGTGGGTTCTTTGGGATCATGGATCAACACATATTAGCTCACTAGCTTCGCAGGTGCCGCTCTACAAGAACCTGGGCTTCCGTGCCATCAAACATCCATCATATATCGCAGCTCGATCTACAAAGGATTTGCAAGAAACAACATTGCAAGGCCAAGTGGCCAAGCCAATGCGAAAATATCACATACAGAGGAGTGAATGATATGATTTGACGCGATATGATGTTTTCGAAAGAGCATCACACCAGACATGTTGTGCCTTTGGGCTTCCTCTCAACACTGTTCAACACCCTAAAACGCAATTTCACCTAAAGAACTAAAGCAAGGCCAGATACATGTCAAGTCAATACAGTACACAACCATTCGGTACCGTTGTTGGAGATCCAAAGCCAAGATCAGCCCTGCCGATCTCAGTCACCAAGGAGGTGCGCCCGGCTACGCCCTCGGTCGCCAGCAAGGCTAGCAAGGCCAGTCAAGTGAGCCGTGCCAGTCGTACCAGTCACTGCTCCGGGGCCAGCCGCAGCTGCGCCTCTTTGGGCAGACGGATTTGCAGTCGGGGAACCCGGATAAGAATTTGCGCCGGAGTACCCTTGAACATGTTGCCTAGCATACAAGCCTTATAGTCATATAATTATGTTACTTATATACATGGAGTCCGGCCAAAAGTCTATAATCAAAAAGCTTAGATAAAGGGGTCTAAAGTAGCTTATTATGTTGTTTCTTTAACTATATTATGTAGCGGGCCCCCAGCTAAACACACCTATCCTGCAGCTGGGCGCTAGGTCTGCGGTAGACTTGCGCTAGTGTTTGACTTAGGACATGTTCAGAAGGTCGTCAGGTTTTGAAAAGTAGCTGGCTAAAAGATGTGCTAGCCGCGCGCTAGTACTGCGCTAGATCCGGGCTAGCAAACATTGCCAGATTCCAGCATGGACCCTTCCAAAGCTGACTTGCAACAAGTCTTTTGTTTCAAGCATTGCTTGAAGACGCACAGGGCTCAGACAGCAATGGTTCAACTTGCTCAAAGAGCAGCTGAAAGTGGTGCAGTGCTAGTGACACCTCTCACAACTTGGTGCCAAAACTTGTTTGGTCCATGTTTCCTTCATCAACCAGCTGTGTGTGCCAAAAGTAAAGAGTATGTATGAGTATGTAGCGGGCCCCCATGTGAGCACGACATTCAGCCATGATTGGAGGAAAACATTTCGGCCAGATCCTACATAAATACCACTGGTTGGCTCAAGGTCCAGGAGCTTTTGAGAGGCGGTATGAACTTGCTGCATGCATCTAGTAGGCCAATCCAATCTGGAGGTGCCATGAAACAATGGCTGCTGCACGTGGTTTGCCAAACCTAAGATATTTGAAGCTGACTACAACTAACCGTGACTAACGGGTTCCTCGCTCTAGCGTTACCTCAACTTTGTAGACTATGAGCACGACAAGTTGCCGGCAATCAGGGCATGTATCACATGCAGAATGGAGATTCAACTAATGATATCAAGTTCCTTGCCAACTTCAGTCCGTTCACTGAAATAAGCCTTAGGTCAGCCCATACTAACAACCATCGATGAGAAGTCTGGTCCAGCAAAAAACCAGGCGCATCACATTTTCAGAATGTTACCATCGCTCAGTGTTTCAGAACTGTGCATTCTGGAGGCTTTGCATTTGCCAAATAAATACAGCAGTTGAAACCAAGTTTTTCCAGACACATGGTATTGGACAGGGCGATGAAATGCCACAAAAAGAAGACGAAGCACCAGGTCCTGAGCAACTTGGATTCCAGTCTCACAAGCTGTGGTGCTACTTGATGTTTGCGGAACTGACAAGGTTAATCTGCTACATGAGTGTGCGGCTGCACAGCAGCACCGCTGGCAAACCCAAATTACCATCACCCTGGACTCCAAAATGTTGATAAGGGTTTCAAAAACTTGTAATTTCCTTCCATTTGTTCACAAGTAATTCAAGTAGTTAGTATTAAGTATTATATAATTAGTTAAGTTGTTTCTTCAGAATTTTCTCAGCTTGCCAATACCGGAGAATCACAATCCGGTGTGAAGCGACTCTTTTGCTGCCTCAGGCCACAAACTTCGACCTTTGTGATGCCAAAGTATGTCTGGGGCACGGGACGTGTCAAAGTATGTTTGTTTGCTCCAGGTTCCTGCACTAGCTGCGAAGAACTACAGAAGTCTTTCTTGCAGGAGAACGTTTTACCCAAACACAATGACCTTTAATGCCTTTTGCATACTTGTACTTTTGTTTTGACCTTTGGGCCTCAATGAGAGTCTCTTGCTCCGGTAGAGCCGTAGAGGCTTTCGGCTGTGAGTCAGCGCTCTGTCAGAGTTTGAGGCTCTTGCGAGATATTCAATGAGACACATGTTCCCCAGCTGCATGAGATGGAGAGAAGATTGGGGCACAAGTGGCACAGCTCCTTTTGGCGCTCGGGCCGGGGCCTGTCCGGGGTGACAATTAGGATTGAAGTGATTCACCTCACAAGCTTTGTTGAACTCTCTCTTCGTAAGGAACCGGCCGAAAGATTTTCTGGGGTCGTTTGGTTTGGCTTTACTTCGGGGCAATGACTTGCTGCGAAGCATCCTTGGTGCAACCCAAGCCGCCATGCTGTGGTGTGAGGTATTTGGCCGAGTGTGGTGCTCGAAACAACAGCATGAGGAGACTATGAAGCTCTCCCGATGCCTATTTCTTTTTTGTTGAGGATAGGATAGCAGAATAGCTTGTGCAAGTCAAGAAACACTTGGGTCATTGCGCATACTGTTCCTTTCTCAGAGCTTTAGTAAATCATAGAGTGTTAGACTACTGAGAATCTGAGAATGTTGAGGGCAGGAGCATAGATCAGAATATGTGCTGCTTCTTACAAAGGCTTCTTGGGTCATGATTGCCATATTTTGTGTGTGTGAGTGCGCGTCAAACTTTCGTTGTGTATAGCTTGAAGCAATTTCATTTTGAGCCCCAGATAATGCAATGCAAACAGAACTCAACATATTGGTTCCCGTTCCCCCACATGCAATTTCCCTGCACCATTTGCCCAATGATGACCTCACATGGTAGGAACTTGCGGAATGTCATCAAGCCAGCTCCCAATGCTCGAGGCAAGGCAGTCTTTGGTCTTGGCCCAGCCTTTTAACTTTTCATCAGAAGTTCAGCCATGCACAGGCGTAAAGCCTCCAGGCCCAGTTGGACCGTTTCCTGAGGACACCAGTGTGATTCCGTTTTTGCAGTCAGCGCTTATAAACTAAATTCTGAGATGTTTGACCAATACGGATGGGAGTGTGGAGCACTCTTTTTTGGATAGCTGCACCGCACCGCCCAATGCCACAAGCAAACCCGCCGGAGTCTCTAGTAGCTTGGAGTTTGCCAGGAGTCCCAAGGTGACGCACAGCTTGCAGTCTGATGGATTTGAGACATGCATGAGCCGCTCAATTGATGTGTATGACATTTTACAACTAGCAGCTAGCAGCTTCATCTATTTTTAGTGGCTTTTACGAATACAACATATGTTTGATGTCTATTCTTTACACAGCTATTCTTTAGTGGCTATTTTCTTTAGACGCGTCTGACATCGTTCTGGACAGTCCCAGTCAATGTTGACACCAGCGGCGTTTCCGACTGGTGAACCATTATGGAGGCTCCCCTGCTAAGCACCGAGAATGTGCCGAATGGCGGCAAAGCCGCCTGCTAATGTCTTGCCCCACCTGTGAGCAAGTGTTTGACCATGGAAGACATCGAGAGAAACAAGAGAAACAAGCGGCTCTCCTCAACTGCAGCAGGGTCTTTGCCACACGCCTTGCGACTCTTCGGGGTTACCCTATGTTAATTGCATTTAATTGCTTTTGACTTTGAGACAGGGCATGCATTTATTGAATATAGACTGGCAATCAAAGGTCAAAAGCAGAGTCAAATGTTGGTGCTTCGTCTTGACGGTGAGGCTGATGATGGCAATTCCCTGGCGGCCTTGGCTTCGGAACTATCTCATCGGGATGATAGTCCAGATGACGATAGGAGGAGATAATGAAAAGAAGTGCCAGGTTGTTGTGATGTTGTGGAGACAATCGGCATGGGAGACTCTTTGAGCAGTCGAAGGACTGAAGTCAATGAAGGGCAGAAGGTGGGCAATCTTTGGCCTGAATAGATGGCTTTCTTTTGCAAAGCTGGGTCTGAGAGAGACATGACTGACGACCTGCACCAAGCACACTTCAAGTGATCAGAGGGCTCCATGAGGCTGAACTTACCTGACCGTTTGGCTTGGTGGAAAGTGGCAGCTACTATTCCACTCTCCCCTTGTGTCTCGTGTTTTTCCTGATGAATCTTTTTTAAGGGTACAAGAATCTTCGAGCAGGCGCTTGATGCCGATGCTGCCAGTGTCAATGAAGCTGCAAAGAAAGCCCGTGAGGTGAGGGATGCCGGCTGGCATCTTCAGCTGTTTGAGGCTTTTTTGAAAGACCTGAGTCTGAGGTGCTTGGTTTTTGTGCCCTTTCATTATTGTTCTGAATTCAGTCTTCAGATCGCACGATTGGGCTATGTATGGCACCCAGGTCTCTTTCGATTATAGTTATTGATACATAATTTTACTAGATATATTGTGTTTGATCGGGACACTGTGAATTCACTAAAACCTCGGGTCCCCAGAGGTTTCGTGTGGAGTCCCGTTTATCTAAAACTTGATCAATCAAGTAATTGGAAAGCGCTTGATGCCAGGCCTTTGAGCTGCAGGACAGCGACCATGTCCTGATTTAAGATCGCTTTGATGGGAAAAGGTCTAAGATGTCTAAGCCCTTCCTCGATTTTACTCGTTATTAGGGTTTGCTACCTTTTGATTCAAACTTGTCCCAGTGCATTGATTGATCTAAAGGCTGGAAGTAAGCTGCCAAGCAAGCTGCCAAGCAAGCTTAGTACTGGCAGGAGCTCAAGCTCATGGATCTCATCAAGGCCAAGCGACAAGAGTTCAGAGCCTCAAGAAGGGACGCGAAAGACGATTCACAGATTTAGACACGTTGTGTTATGTAGTTGTATAAGAATCTAATAGGTTTGGTTTGTTTACCGCTGGCCTCAACAATGAGAACATGTGCGAAATAAAGAGCTTGGTGAGTCGTGTTTGTGCTGAAAGAGCATTGTGGTTTGTTCTGGTTTTGCAATCTTGGACTTCTGACACAGAAGAACAATGGGCAACTGGATGAAAGCCCCAACGGTAGAGCTGCTTAGTTTTCACTAATCTAGAAGAGTACCCGCATCAATGAAGGGTGCTGACTGATCAAAGGCTCGTACCTTTGCAAAGCAGCATGGCGAAGCGGCAGCCAGAGTGGAGCCCCCAAGAAACGTTGTAAGGCAAGATAAGGCAAGTCATATTTTGCAAGAGGAGAAATTCGAGGGTAACAGTGTTGCCTCGATGTTGTTCCTGTTGGCCCAGCATTAGATTGCGAGTGTCCGTTGCCACTTGTGGCCAAGGCTGGCTGACCAGTTGCGCAAGATCTCCGAGGCCAACCGTTCCGTGGTCGAGGACTCAGGAGAACTCAGAAAGCCATTGCGCACCAGGAAAGGTTGCACTTGACAGAGTGGCGGAGGGTTCCAACAAAACTCTGCAATACTTGTGCATGGCACGATGGCACGTGCAAATGGAGCGATCATGAGCGATCCATCCGACATGTTTCGAGGCGATGACGTCGCAAGGACTGAAACGCGACAAGAAGGTCTTGGAGAGGCCAGCGCTATTAGGTTGGAGGGCATCGCTATTAGGTTGGAGGCCATCGCTAGTAGGTAGGGGGGCCGAGTGGCCTTTACAAAGTCCATCAAAGTCCTTTCTGTTTGGCCGTTTGTCGACGATGTCCAAAGAGGGTCAGACGATGAGAGACAGTCGAGAGGTGAGCTAGCAGCTAACAAGTATATTGGACGCAGGAAGCTAGGATTGGACCCAGCTCTAATGATTTTCTTCCCAGATTGTTTGGGAAACTTAGGTAATTTGCAAGACCTGGTTTGACAAAGGTGGCAACCATTGGCAAACATCACCAGGTTGAAGTTGCGCGATTGTTTGTGAGCGATTGTGAGCCAAAGAGAAGCTGTTAATTCTCAGCTAGCAAGTGCCCAGGGCGCAAGCCAAGTGCGCAGTGTTGTCCAAGGCAAGGCTGCTTGAAATCTTTCCGCATTGTCGCATTTAGGTTGCGTTTTGCGACAGGAAACATCAAGGATACTCAAAGCTTTGTTTGTTCTTGGGTGGTATCAGATGAAATTGACATGTTGACTTCAACCCTGCAAGCCATATGGCGTTGGTTGAAGTTAAGGCAAAGAAGTTCGAGACAGACAAGCGGCCAGAGGCGGATGGGCTCCACAGTGCTGGAATATCCTTCCAGTTCCATCAGGGCTTTGATTGTTATCATCTATATGACTGCCTCAGCATGCGTCAGCCTTCATATAGATGCTTAGTTGCTTTCAATAGATACTTTTCAGCTGTTTGTGTGCTGTTTATTTGCTTACTTTGCCCATTCAGACAAGACATGATCTCCGTGCGATACTTTGGAGGTGTTGCATGCTCTGCATATGCTTTGCATGATCGTTTGAGAAAGCTGTTGCGCCACTTGACAGTCTCATTCGCACCATTGACCACAATTTGTAGTTTAACATACTTTCTCGCCAGTCTCGGGTGCAAGTGATCATGGCAATTTCATTCCTCAAAGCCATGGATACGCACTCAGACGAGTGACAAGCACGAGTGACAGTGACACCAGAAAATCGAGTGACACATTGGATGGCGAAAGAGCATATTTCGGTCATGCACATCATATGTTGCCACCTTTTGCATGCTAGTTAGTCTTTGTGCCAGCGCCAGTTAGTCTTTGGCTCAAAAGAGTTTTGAACTGAGGCTCGGGCATCTGGGATCGAGCTGAATCCGCCAAAGCCTCAGCCGACCAAAGTCTCCTGTCAGGCTGAATCCATGCCTTCGGCGTTTGCAGAATTAAATCTTCACGGAAAGTCTATGCAAGTTCTTGGATTGTTTCAGTGCCAAAGTACAGTGTGCTTGCCATGTATATATATCAATTACCTTGCCTTCATGTTCTTCTCTTGACTCCGGGATTTAGTGATCCAAATTAAATTCAATCTGTGGTGGAAAGATGGCACTGGCTCTTTCGTTCTGCCTTCATAAACAATCTCTTGTAGACCACAAAGTGCCACAAAGTGTACAGTGAAATTATGTGGAACGCTTTCTTGGTTGACACTCAGGGGAGCGCAAGGGCCTAGCTTTTTGCAGTTGGAAAGTCAAACGCTTAGACTGGTGACCTGACGTGACGCTGAACATTGGACATGTTGTCAATGTGATCAATCCTTCCAAGCGGCAACAGACATTTACATGTAATAGCTGCGTGAGCCCCGACATAAACAGGATGTGTTGCTGGCATGATGCTGAAACTTGTGGGACTTTCGCTTCATCATCAGTGTTGATGGTCCCGCTGCACAGCAGTAAAGGAGTTGTGCAACTTTATTGCTAGTGTCGATCTGAGGGTTCACGCTTTCCGTCTCACTCGAGGCTTCCTAGTGCAGGCTACTATTGTACTATATTCCGGCTTCTTTGCTTTTGAGGTAAAGACAGTGATCTCTCAGAGGCTTGGCTTTGCTTCGCTCAACATGAAACATTGAAAACGGTGAACATCTCGATCGGTCCCAACTATATACTGTATATGTTGAATGTCTTTGATTCGGTGGAGAGTACCAGTTAACAGAGTTTGGACCAGAACTCGTTGCTGGATATACATGTTTGGCGATTGAGAACTTCAGCTTTGCTGCTGTTGAAATCAAGATGATGCACGTCCTTTCTCTGGTGGTGCTGCTGTTTGTCTCATCCTGTTGAGTGTAGCAACAGCCAGCCAGCATCAATGGAGGCTGTACGATCTGCTCTTCGTCATATCGAGAGCATCGATGGCAACAACTATCGTGTGGACTTGAAGGCAGACCCTTTGTCCTCCGAAGGCTATCAGCAATTTCCAGAACATTTGAACGTTTGGTGTCAAATTGTTTGGAGGCATTTGTTTGGCGAAACGGTACTATGTATCCTATGTTATACTGAGAGTATTTGAGAGTTCATGAGATTCTCTTATTTGTGATGTTCTATCTGTACTGATGTAGCATGTTGATCATGTTCCTTGTGTGTTTCCACGTTCTTCAAAAGCCTGGACAAATTGCTCTACTTAGCTGAGGTGAACGGGCACATATGTAAGCCATGGGGCAATAAACAGTACTGTACCATTATTTGAAGCTTCGCAGACTCCTTGACACAAACAAACGTGTTTAACATGAGTAGCGCTTCAGGATGATTCGGCTGCAGATGAAGTCTTTGCCATTCCAGAGAGCAACCTAGTGCAGGCCAGGCTGGCAAAGAGCTAACTGTGTCCACTAAGAGACCTTGTTCTATAGAAACACAGTCACCATTTGCTGCCTACAGTAAAAGGTGAAAACATATTAAACAAAGGAAAGTCATGTCCTTTCTAAAGCTGGGTTCTATATGGTTCTATTCCCTTACCTTCTTCTTTTGACATAGAAAGGCAGTGAGTTTTCTAAGATCCGTATTTGGATCCTTCACATCTTTTACATTCTGTGAGCATTTTTGAGCTGTTTTAGGTCGGAGCTGAAAAGGCGGAGGCCAAGGAGGCCGCAGGGGTGTGAACAACTCTGAGTTTGGACATTGCCGGCATTGTCTTGTTTCTTGTGGTTTCTGGGATGCATGGTGAGAGAATTGAGATTCAGAAAATACCGATGCTCTAGATGCGGTGTGAGGAGGGAAAGCACGCGCTAGCAGCACTAGATCGATACTTCATAACGTCATAAGGTTTTCAACCACATTCAATTGTTGTGCTATTGGATTCTTGGATTCTTGCAAGGCTGCAGACTCTCTCAAGAATGTCAAAGAGATGATTGCAAATCTCATTGCATCATTGCGCGAGGCAACCCAAGCAAGGGAAAACAAATACAACTACTGAAGCAAAGGTTCCTGCATACTTGCCGGCAAGTGCAAGGATATATATAGCATGAACATGTCTACATTCTACATATACTCAGCAGCGCACTACGAATAGGGCCGTGGATTGATTGACAAACACGTCACAATTGCAATACCAATCATGGGAAAGGCACACATATATAGAGGTGTCCAGCTTGAGTACCTCCTTTTCAGTTGTTGGGTGGTCGAATCGGAGATGGTTTGCATTTTGCAGACTGTCTTGAGTCTCGAGCTTGGGTCAAACATGATCGGTTGGCCAGGAGCAGAATCAAGACCAAGAGAAGCAGAAGTTCTGCGTCAAAGCCACAGGATTTGATTTCGTGATGTGTGCATAGCTTGCAGGTGGCTGGAAACAATCAGCCAAGATGTTTGTGATTCGGAGAATATTCACAGGGTTGAGTGACAACCTGCAGCTACACCTGCTTCCAGGCAGATAGCCTGCAGTGTGCGAATGTGTGTTGGCGTTGGGAAGGGTTAGAATAATTAATTGAAGCATTCCATTGTTGCTAGGAACAAGAAGCTACTAGTACCTCCTGGCCTTACTACTAGTAATTAACAATAAGCTACTAGTAGCAAGGAGGATGAATGGTTTGCATTGCGTTGCATATGTTTCTGCTGGAAAAAGGGCTCAAAGATGTGAGGCCCCACTTATAATAGGTCTCTTCGGAGCCGAGTTTTCGTCTGCGGACGTGTTTCACCCTACAACGGCGACCCGACCTTAATGCACTTGACAGTGCATTGCAGTGCAGGGACACTTTGACTCTGCTTGAGCGTGTAAAATGCGGAGCTTGAGGCCATGAGCAGAACGTGGACTGAATGCAAGCAGTCCAGGCCTCTCACCGATCTGATGGGTTCAGATGATGTCTAATCAACTCATCTAGCTGTGCTTGGCATACGGCTTCCTAAAGTCACCGCATGACAGATGTTTGTTGCTGAACTTTTCACGGGGAAGAAGGGGTTCAGTTCAGGTCCCTTCTTGGGAAGCATGCGCATATATATATATAGCCCATGAGCTACAGACATCCAGTTCCTAAACGACATTCAAACACCATCCGAAAAAAGATAACATGAAACAAACACTTATCGGAGCAAAGGACGCTACTAGGAGCAAAGGGCATCGCTACTAGGAGCAAGGGCCTTACTACTAGGAACAAGAGGCTAGTAGAAACAATAAGTAAATAGACTTTAATTAATTAGAATTATATAAGTGGCTCAAGGCACTTGGAATATCATCCGCCCCACGGGACGCAAGACGTATTCTTTGCCTGAGACACCCCGTCGGGGCGGTGCCCAAAGTCATGCTTAATTGTACGGAGTCTTAATGTTCCTTGTTTGCGACGTGAAGAATCGCTATTAGGTTGGAGGCCATCGCAGTTAAGTGTTCCTAAAATTCTAGGAACCAAATTAATAATTAGAAGCACGAGCTATTCTGCATCCATGCTAGTAGCTACTTCTGGCTACTACCTCTCCCCTTTAACAAATTACATATTATGAATTGACACAACAATAATATATAATAAAAAAATATATATATACTATATGTGAACTTTAATAACCCTCATGAAAACTTCGACTTCGACGGAGTCTCTTGAGTCACCAGGTCTCGTGAACGAAGCAGATCTGCGACGGGCAGGTGCACTGGGCAGGGACGCCGGTCATCGTTTTCCTTTTATGGGGGAGGGTTCCAGCATGCAACTGTTGGGCTTATTGGCAATTAATGACTTTGGTGCGGTAAGAACTTGATGTGGGCTAGCCCGCGACCAGATCATAGTTTGATATATACTAATTCACGAAATGATGGCACAAGTAAAACGATTGAAATATGCAATCAAAGATCAAAGATTTCAGTGCAAAATTGAGCCTTGACAATAGGAACACTAAAATGGCATACCAATACACTGAAGCAATGACAGGGCCGCTGTGAGAGCCGGGTTCTTTGAGAGTGCTGGGGTTGCATTCACAAAAGAAAAAAAGGAAAGGAGAGGGAGGAAGGCAAGCAGGGAGAGAGGGAGGGAGGGGGAAGAAGGGAGTGAGGAGATGATATGCACTAACGCAGGAACAGCATATTGAAAGGGGAGGACCATTATATATATATACAACAATGGTGGGCCTGCTGCCAGAGAAGGGCACAAAGCAAAAGGGAAAGAAGAGGCAGGGAGTGAGGAAGGGAGAATCATGAAATGCATTGAGCATAGGAACGCTAAGATGGCACACCGCAGAGAGAGCGAGAGAGAGAGAGAGATGGAGTTAGAGATGGAGTGAGAGAGTGAGATTGAGAGTGAGCTAGTCTCATATTAGAATCCAACAAATTGAATGAAGTCCAAGAGAAGGAGCAAAGGAAAGACACTATACAGACAGGAAAGGACTAACTAAGGACGTCCTGGAACCCCTGGCAAATACTTGAAGTATGTCCACACAGGCTAAAGGGCATGAAAAGCATACTAAATAGAAAGGCAAGGACAAAGGCAGTTGAAAGGGCGCGAGGAAAGAGCGGTATGCATTGAACATAGGAACGCTAAGATGGCACACCACACGTGAGGAAATGATATGTAACGCAGGAACAGCGTACTGAAAGGGGAGGACCATTATATATATATATACAACAATGGTGGGTCCGCTGCCAGAGCAGGGTACAAAGCAAAAGGGAAAGAATAGGCAGGGAGTGAGGAAGGGAGAATCATGAAATGCATTGAGCATAGGAACGCTAAGATGGCACACCACAGAGAGAGAGAGATATAGAGATGGAGTTAGAGATAGAGTGAGAGAGTGAGATTGAGAGTGAGCTAGTCTCATACTAGAATCCAACAAATTGAATGAAGTCCAAGAGAAGGAGCAAAGGAAAGACACTATACAGACAGGAAAGGACTAACTAAGGACGTCCTGGAACCCCTGGCAAGTACTTGAAGTATGTCCACACAGGCTAAAGGGCATGAAGAGCATACTAAATAGAAAGGCAAGGACAAAGGCAGTTGAAAGGGCGCGAGGAAAGAGCGGTATGCATTGAACCTAGGAACGCTAAGATGGCACACCACACGTGAGGAAATGATATGCACTAACGCAGGAAGAGAGAGAGAGAGAGAGACCAGCAAACAGAGTACAACACCCTTAAGGCCTGGAACAAACAATAAGATTGCACACCAGCCAAACGGCTCTAGTAGATTACAATGCCGATCCCCCCAAGCATCAACTGACCACTATGATGGCACACATGGCCCTTTCAGATCCTCGATTATTTTAATCAAAAAGTATCTATATGCCATGTATTGTCTCGATTCCTGTGTGCCATCAAAATGTGATCCTGTATAGTTTGTAGATTACTGACTAGCTCGACGTCAAACTTCGGTAGTCAGTCAGTGAGTCAGGTGTGCCAGGAAGAAAATTACCTTTTTCTACTTAGACCCTCCAAGAATGCACAGCCAGGCGCATTCCTGATGTGCGGTCGTGACGTTCGAAGGGCCTTCCATGGCCTTCCAGTTGCTATGTCTTCAAAGCGAACTCAGAGAATTTGTTGTCGAGGCATGAGGACAAGCATTGCCGGAAAGAGACAATGTCGGAGGCTCCTTGGCAACTGTGCGTGTATTGTGTGTTGCTTGCTTTGCTAGTATTTGCTGTTGTTTCTGTGAAGTGTAACCGCACAATGATGTCCAAATGGGCGTTGAATTGGTTCACATGCTAGAGATCAGATTCAGGTGGCTACTGTCGCAAACTAGGGCCATGTATTGTCCAATGAGGTTCCCGTGCTTGAGAGGAAGGTTTCGGCAGAGGCTGCTTGGCAAGGGTCTTTCATGGTTGTCCTTCTTCCAGAGCCGCAAAGTGCATTTGTATGCATTTGTATGCCATGAAATGATAAGAAGCGCAATGAAATAATTGATGGAGAAATATGACACCTCTGAAGTGAATGAACGCACATAGGGCAGGCGGCAGGAGTGTTGAATTGAACTGTTTTGCTCCGATCCCTTTCCCACCTTTCTTTGGTGTCAAATACATGCGAGGTCGACAAAACCGATGTAAATGCCAACTCGTTGAACGTGGATGAGTTTCTTCAACCGCAGTGGTGGATTCCAGAAGTGGAAGGTGTCCCCAGGCCGCATGGATCTCATTGGATGTTCACAAAGTGACGGCAGAAGCCGAACTGCTCTCCATGAAGTTCCCACCTGAAAAGGACGATGCCTAGCTTCGGCCAATCACAGCTTGGCTTCGGCCAATCACTTGAATAATGGTAGCGCGCGATGCGAAACCAGAATGTGTGACAAGGTAAGTGTTGGCGACCATCAGTTCCTTCAAGTTCTTGGCGAAGGCAAAGTTGTGTGAACTCCCTTGGTTAAGATTCAAGATTGGCTTTATATAAACTATGCATCATCCGTTCCACATTGACCAAATGTGACACATTGTGATTTTTTGTTAGGATGAGGCGGGGGCCATTCTTGCGACGCCACAGAACCCTGCGGTGCAGGTACTCATGGCCGTGTTTACAAGGTTGCAGATCAAGTATGTGGAGGGTTCAATGCTGTGAAAGTGATCAGGCCAGCGTACTGTGCAACTGCATGGCACTGCATGGCAGAGACATGTGCTTTGATGATTTTTGATGTCTTGGCTACCTACGCACGACTCTTGTTCTTTCCCTGCAAGGAAGAACCGCTTGAAGACCATGGACGAGGTGGCATTGAAAACACTGTATATATTGTACACTATATTGTACGTACACAGCATCATCAGCTCCGAAGCTTCAGGTGTCCCAGTTTCTCCAAAGGTTCAAGGATGTCCGTCCAACGATTCGCTCGCACGGAACAGTATCGTTGAATAGCAGTGGCCATCCATAGTCGTTTGATCAATGTACAACTGGTGACACGACTTGGTTCCCAGATCTATGGCATTGCCGGCGAGTGTAACACTTTGGCTTGGCTCAAGCATCCCAACATCATTGGGCCACTCGGATGCACGCTGGTTCAAGAGAGTCAACCGGGTTGGTTGTGCAGCGTGTTTGCAAGTTGTGGAACATCCCGAGGTTGCGTGGTGCTGTCCATGCCAATCAGAACATCTACGTCTTTATGGAGTACGCCGGTAATGTCTCCCTGCACAAGCTCTTGCAATTGAGGCCAACTTGCCAGGTTTGATGTTGCCACTAGTCACTAGAGCTTTACTCTGGTGATCGGCAAAGAATGAAAGTATATGAAACTTATGAAAGCATGTTTTGTTGAACAAGAACGCTACTAGGAGCAAGGACGCTACTAGGGGCTCCTGGCCTTACTACTAGGAGCAAGGATGCTACTAGGAGCAAAGGGCATGTTTTGTTGAGCACTCAGCAGGGCCGGCATTTTTCGTGTCGTGGGCTTGATGCCGACCGCCTGTGAAGCCGGTCAGAGCAGAGTCGCCAGCGATCCAGGGAGAACCAAGTCGGACTTGATATGAGCATGGCCCGCCAACTCTTCAATCAGCTGTCTGATCCAATTTGGTGCAGTTTTATTTCCTTATTTTGTGACTCATTTCGGTTTTGCTTGATTGTTTCTGAGTGCAAGGTGGCAAGGTGTTCTGATAAAGAAAAGGAGATACGATTCCCTTTAACACATAATTTATGTAGTTCTTTTTGGTTTTGCAAATGGCCTTTGGATATTTTCAGGGTATTTGTTGTTTCAACATTTTGTTTAAAGAGACCAGAGACATTTGGTGCTTTGTGACAGCGAAGACTACACAAGGATTGCTGATGCAGTGGCGTACTGTCATTGCCACGGACTTGCCCACTGTGTCCCTTATCACTGTCAAAAGCACTTTTGAGTCTTCCAAGTAAAGGCACAAACAACAGGAGTATGAATGCTTTATGCACTCCTGCTTTGATGCTTACAGAATTCCTGATTGTGAGGATGCAGTTCCAGTAATTAAGTAGGTAGGAGTTGCTTTCGGCTGAAATTGCGTTGGTTTGTCCAGGGTGATTTGTTTGATGGTGTTGACTAGTGTGGAGGTTTTTTTGGTTGGTTTGAATGCACCAATGACCCAGGATTTGAAACCGCAGAATATTGTGCTGAACGAGGATGGAACAGCAAAGATCCTTGTTGTCATTTTTCCCACAATTAGGAGCAAGGACGCTACTAGGGGCTCCTGGCCTTACTACTAGGAGCAAAGGGCATCGCTACTAGGAACAAGGGGCATCGCTACTAGGAGCGATCGGACGCTTCTAGGGGCTCCTGGCATCGCTACTATTATGCTCGCTTACTGTCCTTCTTCCATTTTGTGTGTGTTACTTTGGGGCTGTGGCTCTGAAGTTTCAAAAGTTATGGGGAATCCGGCAAACTCCCTCACTAGCCACGAAGCCATAAGGGAGCGGTTTTGAAGCTTTGCTGACTGCAATAGATTCCTTCAGAACGGCTCGAAGTGTGTTACCGACTGAGTTTTGCTCATCTTGCACTTGCTTTGAAACTAGAAATTATTAGAAACTAGATACGTTCTTCTACTCCAGTGGGGGTGACAACTTGATTTTCATGTTTTGTCATGTTGTCTTCCTGGCGGATTAGATCTCACAGATATGCTGGTCTGGAGATCCTGATGCACGTGGCGTTCAGCGGCAGCATTTTGACCTCTTTTGTGTACCTATTTCACTGCTGATGTAGTTTTCACAATTAATCCTGTGTTGAGGCTTTTTTTGGAGATACAGCGGGGGTGCGTCTTCAATCCACATTCGGCATCAAAGTGGAACTTAGTGGAACCCCAAACATTTTAGCACATTTGGCATCACAGTGATACGCTCCTTGGTGGAACGAATCTGCCACTCTTACCTTTAATTTATATAGTTCCTTTTGCGTCGGGCCTTCAACGCAACTTCCAACACGTTCTAGAAGGCAGGGATATACACTGGTTTATTGGATTGCCTCAGTCAACCCTATATCAGAGCTTGGCAAGTTGTTTTGAAGGCCATCAGGTTTGCCGTGACTTCTGATCATTTGATGAAGTCAGAGCTTTTTTTGCATTTTTGATCATCGCAGTTTTGTTAGACCCAGGATCGTAGATTTTGGGTTGGCATTGAAGCTGGGTTGGCCCGTAGGTCCCGATCTTATGACGCAGTTGACAAACTGAGACGTCGAGCCAAACACAAACGTCGAGACGGTATCACATTTCACAATCAATAGTTGTTTGCTGTGACTGAGTGGATTTCAATGTGCCGGCCTCAGTTGAATGCTGGACGTAAAGTCTGCGGGATTGTTCACTGCCCCCTACTCACAGAAGCATCCATGTTGATCTCCCAAATATTTGAGACAGTGAGACATAGTGAGACATGTACACCAGATCTTCCATGATGTTGCATTGAAAAACATTACAAAGGCCATCGAAAACATCACAAGCTCCACAGTAAAGTACAATGTTGTCACATTGTGTCCCTGAGTATCTCCCTGCAGGGGATCCACGTGGCACATGGCCATTTACTGCACCGGAAGCAGCTTGGCCTTGCGGACGCCCTTGGGATTTGGCGAAGGCAGATGTCTCTTGGCAAGACCTATATACAGTAATAGTCAATGTATAAGTTCATTTCCTCTCCATTGGTGTCATGTTCCTTGAAACTTGGACATCGAACTGGCCCGCTTTTGATTCTCAGTGGCTGATGGGCACATGGCGGCATATGGTAGCTTCGACATGTTTTGAGGTTTTCTCCCTTGGAGCAGTGCTGATTGAGATGCTGTGCGGTACGGACAAGTGGGCATCTTAGAGTCTCAGGTCTTCAACTCAAGATGGCTAGTAACAATGTTCGCTACTAGGGGCTCCTGGCATCGCTACTAGGAGCAAGGACGCTACTAGGGGCTCCTGGTCTTGCTACTAGTAGCAAGAACGCTACTAGGAGCTCTTCAACTCCAAAGAAGTTTAATCCGCCACTGCGGATTCCATTGCTGCGGGTTTTACTTCAACCGCGCTGACGGCGCTTTCACCCTGAGGCTCTTCCGGATGTTCGGCTGGATGGCGCAGACGCCTTTGAACTTGCTAAGGGTGCAGGAGATGATCGCCTTCTTGGCCACCCCTGGAGCGATTTCTACCAGCTTGGCCACTGATATAGGTGTGGGCGCCCACATGACACGGTGCCTAACGGATTGGGAACGAACAGGTCTAACGGTGCTTTGTGGCACCTGGTGTGTTTTGGCAAACATGGAAGTCCGAAGTTGATGCTAAGTTATGTTGGTTCAAAGTGTGGCAGAGCTACGTTTTGCTTTATGACATATTATGATTCAGAGTGCTGTGACAAGTGTACGTCGCGAGCTAAAGCACGGCATCCAGCATCAGTGAGCATCAGTACCTACTTGAAGGATCTCACAAAAACTGATAGTTTCTGCAGTGGTTGGATGCATGGTGCTCAGTATGTCCCGTGCTTTGAGTTTAAGTTTGCTTCGGGAGATAGTCCACCAGCATTCTTGCAACAATACCCCTCATTGATGAACTCTAAGGCTATTCTTCACAAGACGCTTCTTCAATGATCACAGGCGACTTAGATGACCTTCAGCCACGTGGGTAAAACGGTTTTGCAAGCTTTCACTACTGAGCCTGATTGCAAAAAACATGTTCTTGGCTTCCCATGCAGACCCTGGTACCAGGCTACCACAATCAGCCTTCTTTTGTATGAACTTTTGCATTGATTAGACAGGTAAACAGTATGTAGTATGCAGGACCGTTTCTCATTTATGACCCTGACCAAGCACTGTGGAATCCTATCTGAATCTATTTGGTCCGCTGGCAGAGGCATGATGAACGTTGTCCCTATGAAGCGATGGAGCGCAAAAGTTGCTGCATCATTCTGCTGGTGAGCCGTTGCAGGCTGCTAATCCTGAGCTCGAAACTGGGCTTGAAACCAAGTTTTGGCAAGTTCTGTTCCCACGGACAGCCAGGCCACCTGCAACGGTTTAAATACATGCAGCGGCCTGAAATAAGCAAGCTCAGTGTTTGTCTCAACTTCGAGTCTTCTTTGTGTTTATTTGGTCTTGTCAATGGTCCTTTCCGGTTTGTGCAACCATCTTGTGCAACACTGGCGCTTGAAATACCCCTGTTGTCCTTGGAGAGGGATCCAGTTGCAAACTTGGATAATCAAGTTCGCACCAGGACAAGGGGCGCCAAGTGTTGTTACACATGTGTCGGCCAAAGGCAGGCAAGATAATTTCTCCACTACTAGTAGCCGAATAGTTGAAGGTACGTCGCCCCTCTCCTGTTCAGAGACGCTTCTAAGTTTGATGGAGCGTTGACTCCTCGCTGGCCGTCGTGCTATTGTGATAATTGCAAATCTATAGTCGAGATTCCAACAGCCAAAAGCTGGTTTTGCATGTGCTTTCTCGTTCTTTCGAACAATGTTGAACATGATGTATTTTGATGTCGGCTTTTTGAGTCGCATCAGATCGCATTGGCTCGACATGAAATCTATGTCCTGGGGAAGGAGGTGAACCCATACGAATCGGATCCCGTGATGTGGAGATTCTGGGACCTCATTGAGCTCTCGAGGAAAGCCTCCGAACCCTCTCGTGAAATGTAAAAAGCAGCTCTCAGCTCAGGCTTTGTCCTTTATGTATCCTTTTTGAGGTGGACAACAGTGGACAACCACTACAGATATTACTAGATATTCTCCACACCAATGATTTTGCAGCCAGAGCTGAATCTATGTAAATACACGTTGCTCTGCAATGAAGACAGGTTATCCATGTGTTGGCGGGATGTTGGTGGTTGAGTACAGAGGGCCCGCCAAGTGCGAGTGGCTCATTTGCAAGTTACAGTCTTGCAATCCTGGTTCTTCGCTGGCCAGGAAACTTCTGGAAAAAGGAGTAGCTGGCTGAATGGGAACCTACCGTACTTTTGACATTTTTCAGGTGTTCGTGCTCGAATCTTTCGGCCCCAATCGTGCAAGAACCTGGCACTGTTCCGGTACACCTCTAATACGGTGTTGAAGTCATAATGATGTGGGAACTTGCACGCAATGAGGATGTACGGTGATAGACTCCCTCCTGCTGACATGCTCCCGAGCAAGGCTGAGCAAGAGAAGAAAGCGCAGGATGGTATGAAGAAGCTGAAGACGACGCAAGAGGAGTTGAATCCGCAGATGAAGATGTCAGAAATCAGTCCAAATCAACCGAACCTATCACGGGCAGTATCATTCAGGCCATTTGATGCCATTTGTTTTTCATTTTTTTTCACACCTCAGGAGGTCGAAGAATCCAAGCGCTGGGCAGAGCAAGCTGTCAGTGACCTTCAGGAGGGAACTCATAGTGAGGGCAGCGCTTACATGGGAGCTGGCAGTGAAAAAAGCATGAAGCTAAACGTACAACAAGTTGTTGTTTTTTCTTTGCTGTGTTGCAACTGTTAGCAGTTATATAGCACCAACTCTGATTGATGCTGTACACCTGTTGGAAGGTCGTTTCTGTATTGCAATATGTATCACATTGTCACAATCAACTCATCCCTAGACATGAGATGTGCCCAGACAATAGACCCCGGTTTCACCGGCCTGCAGGGTAAATAATGATTGAAACACACACATATATATATATACATATAAATATGAAAAACATGTTATTTTGCAACCAGCACAATTGCACAATCCAAGGTCAGAAAAATTAATGAAATATATTGTGATCATCCCTCACCCATTGACCCTGAAAGCCTTGCAGATCAATATGCTATAATCATGCCGAAAAGCGGGAAAATCGGAGCACCCTCCAGGAGCAGGCTCGCTTCATGGAAGCAGAGGTGCAGCTGCTGAAGCAGTCAGGGAGCCTCGTGGAGACAACGGACTGGAGGTCGATGACAACGTAGGACCGGAGCCCCTAGTAGCGTCCTTGCTTGGATGTTGTCATTCCGGCCCTTGGTCTGGTTGCGTAGAACAATGTTCGCTATTAGTATCAAGTGCATCGCTTCTAGTAACAAGTGCCTTACTAGTAGTAACAAGAAGCTACTAGTCCCGGTCCAAGCGACAGAAACAAGTATTTTGACTCGGATTGCGCTCCAGTGATGTTGCACCGAGGGCCAAGACATCCAGCCTCGCAGAGCTGGCACGTGAGGCCAAGAGAATCCACGACGAGGCGAAGTGGTGAGGAAGGGACGGGTTTGGGTCGGTCGGCTGCGTCGATGTCGAATTTGAGTTTGGAGCTTCAATGTGTTGCTTTGTTGCAAATGTTTGCAATCATGTTTGATTCATGTGTATCCAATATAAGTATCATTCGAATCATTCAGTCTGCATGATTCGACTGTCAGGTCAAGAACCACGATGCTAGCCAAGATGTAATGAGCAAGAGTCAACAGGCGGTGCTACTTCGCTGTGCTGATGCCAAGAATGCTAGTGTCAGCGTGTTCTTCCATTACATCCACTCCATCAACAGTATTCAGCCATGTTCGCTTTTTGCTTGAAGTATCCTTGAGCTATCTGGGCGCTTTTTGACCAAGTCTTTATCAGAAGCGTCTCTGAGGATAGGAAAAGACTGGCATTCCAAAGGTTATCTCCTTGGACTGACATGCAGGTCCTGGTCAGCCAATGTAAGCTCTCAGAGGATGACACCGTCTTCATGCCAAGTTTACAAGCTTGCAGCATGTTCTTCTCCTATCCCAGTAATATTCTACAAGTTTCTGGTCAGTTGAAGCACGATCTTGCACTTTGATTGCTATCAACCAAATCGAGATCCATCATGAACATGCCATCATATATATAAGTTTATGTAAATTTGATCAGCTGCCAAGAAGAAGGAACGAATATCGTGAGGGCTTAACAGAAATCGTCCTGCTCGCCTTGCGTTGGCCAGTCCAGCAACTGTGCAGAAGCCAATGCCGCACTACGCCGGGCTAATATAGGCCTCAAGGCTTTGGATGAGGCCGGCTTTACGTCTACTGTTTGAGTCTATAAAAGTGTTATATATTTTGTCATAGTCATAGTATTGTTCTTGCTGGTTTTGCATAGACTCATAGACAATCACTAGTTTGTAACATGCACTGGATAATGTATGATAATGTGATAATGAGAAAGAAGTTACGACAGTTTCTTTCTTTGCACTCTCTCAGTCCCAGTTTTAAAACATGCAAAATTACAGTATACATGCAACAGTACTATGGCAGTGGATTTCCACTCAGCACCGGTTCTTTGAAGCTCATTTCAGAAGAGACAAGATTCTCGTGTCCTTCTTTAAAGTGACCGGCCTTATCCAGTTTTGCCAGTTTAAAGGGAGGTCACGTGCTTCCTTTTTTGTCAGTATCTCACCAACTACCTGGCAGAGTTCACCAAAGTCTCCGAAGCGCAGAAGGCCAATGAAAGCTGGGCGGGCAAAGCGATCGAAATCTAGTTGTCCGTTTTTCAGGATCCTGACCAACAATAAACATCGTGTGTTGGTTGTTTATTGTAAATGAATGCTTGGCCTGTTCCTTCAGAAGACCGCAGTGGAAAGTCACCAGGAAGAGGATCTCAGCTTTGAAACTCGACCCAGAGAGGTCGTGCTAGACCAAGAGAGATCGTGCTTCAATTCTGTCCGCCAGTGCGCAGGCTGATATTGAGGTCACCTTGACAACGCAAGAGGCCAGCTTGTTCCAAGCACAGGCGGACCTCAACAGGCGGGGTTCTGGGCTGGCATTTGCCGCAAGTCTTGGTGAATATAGATTAACAGCTTCACAGAAGGCTTCTCTGAATTCAGTCTCAGATCGTGGAGCCAGAAGCAGAATGGAACAGCAGAACGCAGCCAGGCGCAAGGACGAGCTTGCTCAGCTCAAATCTGTCAGGGCCTTGTCACCTTCTCCATTGCCATAGCTCTTTGCTGCCTCAGCGTCGTCGTGAGATCAATCTGATGAGATGTTGCATCGAGACTGCCAAGATGTTGAGTCAGGGTTGTACAAGACAGCTTTCAATGCTGGTGAGACTTCCAGGATGTGGTGACAGCCAAAGAGAACGCCATTCTGGCTGGCAAGGAGCGGCCCGAAACCATGACAAGCTTGTGCAGAGCATTTCCTGGTTGATAGCCAACAAGCCTCCAAGAATGAGGACCCAGGTCCTAAAGGCACTAGTCCGAGGATTCACTTTTGGCCAGCGCAGGCAGAATCTGCACTCTCCACCAACTGTGGGCCCAAGGTTTCGTCCATGGAGGTGGGAATTGAACGACGAAACGGAGACGGCGCAGGTTTTTTGCTCTTGCATTTGGCTTGTTGTTATTCTAAACGACGGTTCCAAGTTGTTTGCCGATATAAAGACATGTGTTCACAAGGTTTTGGAGGCTTGGTTATTCAAATTCCAACTTTCCTTGCAAACTGAGACAGGTGCAATGGTTGAAAGATTGAATCCTTTCCGACCAGAACCGATACATGATTATCGACTACTCAAAAGATAGAATTCTGATTTATGAGTTCTTTAATGTTGTCCCTGCACTCGGCGGCTTCCAGGCAACGATTGCTAGTCGTCAGGAGCAGATTGAGCAGCTCAAAAATGTAGGAACCTCAGTGTTCCAAATGACCCAATCACAAAATGCTCATTTTGCAGTTGTGCAGCCAGCCGCTGCTGCTAGTATCAGTATTTTAATGTATTTTACATGATTTACTATATAGTATTTAACTCTATATATGGGGTTAGATATTGGCTTAGACTTAAGCATTTGATATACCGTAATATGTGGGGACGAAGAGAGTTTGTTTGCACACCAAATTGACTTTGCTGCGCTTTTGCCGAGGCTGTGAAGGTCTTGGACGGACAGGCAGCACAGGGTCAAACGTTTTCGGCTTTCTGGTGCGTTTGGGGGAATCAAGAAGGACTATAAGGACAACAAGGACAATGCTTTGAAACATATTTAAGTCACGTTCGTACACTGTATGAGTCTGAAGCTTTTCTGATATGATTTATAGAACGGATATCTACCATACGTGCGGGCACAAGACCCGACGCATCAAAGACATCCGATATCACTGATATCTGATATCAGATATCAGATATCATATCATATCATATCATATCTAGTTTATCCCAGTATCCCAGAGAGAAGATATACGAAGATATACAGGCCGGAAACGCTCCTGATAGAGCCCACCATTTTGCACACGTTGCTGAGCCAGGCTTTCGTTTGAGGTGAGAAATTGCTCCACAAGAGAAAAGTGCTGACAACGATCTTTGAGCGGAGCCAGATTTTGTTGCTGTCAAGACAGATTGTTGCTCAGTCAGTCAAGAGGTTTGTTGCCAGAATGCAACTTTTTGGTTTTGGACTTTGGGTGAGTGAGGCGTGTTTAGCAGAAAGGAATACACATCCATTTTGACAACTTGAAACCAACCAGACCTGGTAAAGGTGTTTGAGTCATGGCTTGGATTTGGTGCTCTACAAGTCTGACAAGATGTTGTTTTGACCATGAGGTTTTCCAGAAGGTCTGGACCTTCACCTCACCGCAGCCTTTCTCTCCATACAATAGTTTCACAAGAGTACAGCATCATTAATCATAGCGATTCTGATCTCAAAACCAGCAGTTTTAACCTGTAAATATGTACTTATCTAAAACCTTCAAAAGGTCACCACTGACTTTCTACTTGTTTGATTTTGGCTCCTTTGTGGGCTGAGACTCGTGCCATGTCATCGCGGCCTGATTCCGGAACTTTTGCAAGCGTGCGTTTCTGGGTGGCAAACTTGCTATAGCCGCTAGTCCAGACAATGCAAAGCAGTGTGCACCGAGGTAAAATCGCGGGTAGTCTTTGAGTGTGCATCGCTTCGCTGTTTTGATGCAGCCTCCTCTAGAACATACTTGGTTGCCAGTTGCCAGGAACAACAACTTGAGGTCCTTGCTCAATGCTTTGGACTTAGTCTGACCAATCTGGAAGGTTGTTGAGCGCCGGGGCACCTTGGATAAGTGACTCAACTTATCATTGAGTCTTGGATCAATCATGATCAATCTAAAAGGCATTGGCGAGGAAGCAAGTCCAGACCATCAAGAAGACTCTGCAAACGTTCTACAAAGAATACTCTGTGAGATTTTATTGTGGTAGTGGAGAGTTCAGCGCATACAAGGCGCTTCAGCAACGAGCAGACCTTTCAGTCCACATCTCAAGCAACTTAACATGAGCTTGATTCCTTTGTGTGGTGCCTTGGGAGTCTTACAGTAAGAGTTTTGTTTGACAGCTTGCCCCTCCCAGGTGCTCAAGTCTTATATCACTCCTGAGACCGCCCTGCACTTGGAGTTTTTCCAATTCTCACAGTTTCACATCACTATGAGAAGGCTTGGCTACCGAGGCCAAGGCACGAGATATTTTCTACAACCTTTTGCTGGCACCCAAGCTGGTGCACACGGTGTGCAACATGTGGCAATGGAACGCAATTGAAACAAGCCAGTCACAAAAAAATAATGCCTTACAGGCCAACTTCTCCATGTCATGGTTCCAACTAAGGCCTCTCTTTTGGGCATTGAGTTATGGAGCTCGCGCAGATGTGGGGAATAGAGACCGGGGATCACGGAGCGCGCATGCTGTGACCACTGCAACATGGAGCAGACCTGTACGGTAATTGTCCAAAAGTGACAAACTTCAAGAACGAAGTGGGGCATTCCGTTCTGGTTGCTTTGCAATTTTGTGTTAGAACCTTTATCGCAGGTTTATAACTGTGACAAAGACAGCTGTTGCAATCGTTGCAATCAGGTGTTGCGTGCCCTGCTGGATGCATATCCTGGAGCCGCCGAGGAAAAGCACCCGGAGGCAGGAAAAGTGAGCCACACTGCTTCAGAGACTGATCCACTGCCAGCTTCAGGGTTGGACTCCATTGCACTATGCGGAGAAGCTGGATGCTGAGGCGGTAAAGCTTCTCTTGGTCAGCTGCCTAGACAGCAGATAGCCTGACATATGTGCAGATGCCACCAGTGTTTGGACATCCCCTACCCCAGGTAATATAATTTATGAGGCTTACGCCTGACAGCCGGTCGCCGGCCTATTTGGGTTTGGGTATGTGCAGGGCTGGGTCCTGTCTCTCTCTCTTTTGTCTCTCTGTCTCTCTCCCTCTCTCTCTTTCTATCTCTCTCTCTCTCTCTCTTTGAGACTTGGTGGAGCTATCTGGTGCGCATCTTGGCCCTAGGTTGGGCCAAGTTGAGCCCATGTGGTCTATGTTGGGCACATCTTGGGCCCAAGTTGAGCCTATGTTGGGCCTAGGTCGGCCTATGTTAGGCCTAGGTTGGGCCTATGTTGGCGTATGTTGGCCCCATGTTGGCATATGTTGGCCCTATGTTGAGCCATCTTGGAGGCTATCTTGGGCCTATGTTGAGGAAATGTTAGGCAACTTCTGTGCCCAACACCCACGAAATGTCGATTAAGCCTGTCCGCGCGGCACGCATAACCGACACCACCGGTGCCCTGTTAGACGCAAGTCATGTCCGCCGAAGGCCACGAAACACTGTAAAAACCGATGTTTTCCACATCATGCGCAATCATGCTGGTAGATAAAATATAAATAACATAAAAGTCCGTCAAAAATCTGTCGACACGCTTCGGGCGGGGGTATCCCCGCGGTCCAACAAAAGGGTCGGCGGCAGGGGCGGCGAGCATATATAACCTTCGGTTACCAACCGAAGGCCTCCGGCAAGGGAACGTGCGCGTGGCCGGCGCCCGGATTTATGAGGCTTACGCCTGACAGCCGGGCGCCGGCCCACTTGGGTCTCTTTAGGGCTGGGTCCTCTCTCTCTCTCTGTCACTCTGTCTCTCTGTCTCTCTCTGTCTCTCTCCCTCTCTCTCTCTCTCTCTTTGAGACTTGGTGGGGCCTATATTGAGCAAAGTTAAGCTATCTGGTGCGCATCTTGGCCCTAGGTTGGGCCAAGTTGCGCCCACGTGGGGGCCCAAGTTGAGCCTATGTTGGGCCTAGGTCGGCCTATGTTAGGCCTATGTTGGCCTAGGTTGGGCCTATGTTCGGCCTATGTTGGCGTATGTTGGCCCCATGTTGGCCTATGTTGGCCCTATGTTGAGCAATCTTGGAGGCTATGTTGAGCATATGTTGGCTATCTTGCGCCTATGTTGGGGAAATGTCAGGCAACTTATGTCCCCAACACCCACGAAATGTCGATTAAGCCTGTCCGCGCGGCACGCATAACCGACACCACCGGCGCCCTGTTAGGCAAAAGTCGTATCCGCCGGAGGCCACGAAACACTGTAAAAAACGATGTTTTCCACATCATGCGCAATCATGGCGGTAGATAAAATATGAATGTCATAAAAATCTGTCGACCGGATTTAACCTGAGGTCGACCGGGGGTCGGGCGGAGGAGAAAGGAATTTTAGATCAACTCGCACATGCAACAGTGCACAGAGAACTAGCTCCGGGGTGCTATCCTGACATGGCTCCTGCTGCTAGCCCGTTGGGTGTGGCTGCTATCCTGACCTGGCGCAGGGTTTGAGGTTGGGACGTGGCCCCTGGCCTGACCTGGGCTCTGGCTGCTATTCTGGCTGCTATCCTGACCTGGCGCAGGGTTTGGTGGTGGCGCGGTTTGGGGTGCGGCCAGGCCTAACGTCACTTTCGGAACCAATAAAAAACTATCAAGCAAGATTGGGTGCTGCCCCGAGCTCCGGGCTGCTATCCTGACATGGCTCCTGCTGCTAGCCCGTGGGCTCTGGGTGCTATCCTGACCTGGCGTTGGTTGCTGCCCCTAGCTCTGGGGTGCTATCCTGACATGGCCCCTGCTGCTAGCACGGAAAATCCTGTGACATGGCTCCTGCTGGCCCTGGCCCTGACGTGGCCCCCTGGCCGTGACGTGAAACCTGACCTGGCACAGGGTTTTGGGGGTGGCGCAGGGTTTGGGGTGCGGCCAGTCCTAACGTCACTTTCGGAACCAATAAAAAACTATCAATCAAGAAAACAGCTGCCAGAGATTGGCTGCTGTGGCCCCCTGTCCGTGACGTGGGCTCCGGTTCTATCCTGACCTGGGGCAGGGTTTGGGGTGAGGCCAGGCGTAACGTCACTTTCGGAAATAATAAAAAACTATCAATCAAGAAAACAGCTGCCAGGGATAAGGTGCTGCCCCTAGCTCCGGGGTGCTATCCTGACATGGCTCCTGCTGCTAGCCCGTGGGCTCTGGCTGCTATCCTGACGTAGTGCAGGGTTTGAGGTTGGGACGTGGCCCCTGGCCTGACCTGGGCTCTGGCTGCTATTCTGGCTGCTATCCTGACCTGGCGCAGGGTTTGGTGGTGGCGCGGTTTGGGGTGCGGCCAGTCCTAACATCACTTTCGTACCCAGGTCAGCTGCAACGTGACAGCCCGCCCAACGTGGCCACGCTCCCTCCAGACTGACCTCGCCAGGCCCGAAGACCAGCCAGCGGGCCCGACGGAGGTGGTGTCGCCAGACCCAAACGCCAGCGCCTGCTGTGACGGAAACGCCTCGGACACCGCGCGGCCGGACTGCTCTGACGGAAACGCCTTGTCGCAGCCCACACGAAAGCACTGAGAGACGGCCCTCGCCAGGTGCGAAGCCCAGCCAACGAGCGGCCTCGGACAGTATAGTACGGACTCTTCGCCAGGCCACCTACTGTCACGGAAACGCCTCGGCGGCCGCACCGCGGGGTGCCTGAAGTCACCCTCGAAACCCAGAAGCAAGGACTACTTGGATGACCGCCCCGGTTAGTAACTGTTAGAAGACATAGTA